AACGCAACAACAGTGTGACCTGGATCCTTCTAATGGCTTCGTTCATCAGCGACTCTTAAAGGGACGTAGTGGCGAGAATGACCCATTTTTCACTCCAAAACTCTATTTATGCATTTGTTGATCAGGAAAATTAATCTCGCTGGCATTTTCAAGGTTATCAATTGGTTTTGTTCAAATCTATGGAAGTGTGCAGCTGCCAATGCGGAGTACAAATATTTTGACATGGCAAATACGTTCGAGCGGCCTCGCAACTCAAGTATCTTCGAATGTACTCTCAAATACATTCAAACGTACTCTGAAATACGTTTGAACATACTTGGAGGCTGAATGTTTTACCTGAAAAAAAAAATTGCCACAGTCCCCCAACGTGTGTTGCTGGGTCTAAATGGGAGCATGTTGTGTCAATATATCAAACACACACACACATGCACACACAATTGACACAAGACATGCCTCTTTCAGGCATGTCTTGTGTCAATTAACTACTCCTGACTTGATGTGCATGGTACATTTATTCCTGCTCCTGCTGAGCTGAGTGACAGGCAATTTACACTGAGAAGGAACCATATCTGCCTTCCTGTTATTCATAGCACACAGTTGTGCAACATTGTGAAGTTTCACAAGATTTGTCACAGAGGACCCATGAACTGAGAGTTGTTTCCTCAATAATTGCATACAGTAAAAAGCAAGGTTCATACAAACAGCTCCCGGGGTGTTGGTGCAGTGAGAGCACAAGCAAAAGGCAAAGACTGCGAAGAGCAGCACCAACAAAGCTGAGGACACATACACAAACGAACAGGGTGGAAGGTACTGTCCAAGTACACGCTTCACAGACAATCGACTTTACATCATCCGCCGGCGCAGATCTGCTTGCAGATCCTTCTAAATGTACTTTATGTGCCTTGACCTGCTACAGGACCTGAACCATTCAGTGTCTTCTTCCACTACATCGTGTACTGTTGCTCCTCTTGAGCGCTGTAATTAAAGTTATTTGCAGCAAATCAAGTCAGCTGTCTTGACACCATGCTGAGCTGTTTGCATGTGCAGCTGCTAAAATAACAACACTTAGTCAAAACCCGTGCGAGGCACATTCATTCATTCATCCATTTTCCGATCTGCTTATCCTCACAAGGGTCATGGGGGGTGCTGGAGCCTATCCCAGCTGTCTTCGGGCAGTAGGCGGGGGACACCCTGAACTGGTCGCCAGCCAATCGCAAGTGCTGGGCACAAAACAAAGCAATGTGTGTGTGGGGTGAGTGGGGTTGTGCGCGTGTGTGTATAGATACAACAATGATGCTGTCTCAGGTACAACATATGATTTTCTGTCAGGCGCTCTTAAATGGCTGATGAAATACTGTACTGTATTCTTGCAAGACAAAACAAACTAGCAGAGCCAAGCCATTTAAACCCTTTTACAGTCTTCTTGCCTTGAGTTAGTTACTCCTAACAATACCTGACAAACACTCACCTGTATCAGACAGATACTGCTCAAACATAAGGTATAAATTATATAATAGGGTATCCTGTTGATAGGTGCACAAGCCTTGAGCATCCACATACGTGACTTAAAGCAGTGCAGTCAAGAGAAACACGACCAAGTGAAAGGAACAGAATGCTAGGAATAAATGAATACAATTTCATGGAATATAATTTTGGTTGTTACTGTAGGTTAGTGCTTCTGATCGTGGTTAATACAATACAATACAATACATGCTGATTTATATAGCGCTTTCACAACAGCGGCAGCTGTAACAAAGCGCTTAACAAAACAGTTAACATAAAGTAAAATAATAAACACAACACATAACATAAAACACGGACAGTCGTGCAGTCCTAACCACTTTTCCGGGACACGCTTTGTTGTTTGAAGCAGTTTGAGATGAAAGAGGAGAGAATCAAAGTGTCCTTTCACCAGTGGATCAGAGACGTCATGCTCAAAATGTGCACACGTTGGCTACAAGCTGAGTTTCAAAGTCAACAAGCTGTAGGATCCATTGACGAAAAAAGAGATTGGTTCACTTCTCCTGTCCCATGGAAATCCATTTCAATTCCAAGCGGCGACTCTCGGTTCCAAATACGCATCGGCGCTCTGCGCCAACGCTCCTCTCTCCTCATCCTCAACTTCAAGCCATCCATCCAGCCGCACCAACGCCGACTGTCCAACAGCGCCGACATCTCCACTGAACAAAACGGGGTTGTGAAAAATGCTGCCCATTACAGGCGCAACAAAGTTAAGCCAGTAGAGAAGGATTTCCCGAATGGTCGCCACTGTTGCACTGGCTCCCCGTTCATTTTAGGATCCAGTACAATATTTTTAACCCACAGAACTCTCAGTGGTCAGGCTCCTCAATACTTGGCGGATCTTACATCAAAAAGATGGACGCCTTTTACTTATTGTGCAAGTAAAAAACATTTAAGATTGGCATTTCACTAATACTTTTACCATTTTTATTCATTTTTCTTGTATTAACTGTATGTTTCGTATTTGAACTGTGTGAATTAACTTTTGGGTTCTCTCTGTACAAAGTTCTATCATCCGATGTACTGCACATGTATACTTCCTTTACTTCTGCTAGCAGTCAAATCAATTAACACCATTGTGCCCGCTAAATGAGCAGTAGTACCGGGCCACACCGTAACACTGTGACTGACACGTGATGTGGTTTGCTTTGGATTGTGATTTGTCTTTTCTTTCTCCCTCCTCTTTTTCAACTCATCAAATTGACAATGGTTGCATCGCTGTGATTATTGAATAAGAATATGATTACTGATGCCTCTTGTGAGTTAATTCTCATTCATCCCGATCCCCTAAAAACAGAGGCCGTCTACAAAATGCATGTCATTTCAAAATGGTCCCTTTCAGCATTTAGAAGGCATACTTTTTTTAAACCTCTTACACCTGAAAGTCTGCACTTCAATCTTATCTTGAATGTTGGATAGAACATTGTTTTGGTGTATAAAGGAAAGATCACATAAACTAGCATTTTCAGATCACATTTGGGATATTAATTATCTAAATAGAGATCCTAGAGCCTTATCAGAACTCAAGCAGAGACCTCTGATATCTACTCTTCTGCTTGTCTAGGACACCATCTGACATGACACAGACCACCCGCAAGCCCTCCCCACACACATGCACACACATACTCACAAACTCTGGACCAAGCGGGTCCCCTGAGGTCACATTCAACACAATGTCATTATCATCCATCGGATTGCATGTGGTCACTGCCCATTCGGTCTTGCTGACAAGCCTTTTGTGCTCAGTAATTCTTCTCAAAGGACCCTCCTCCCCACCCCATTAAAAAAAAAAAAACTTCCACCCTCCACCACCCACTCCCCTCCTGTCTACTGCAGCCCATCTGTAATCCCATCCCCCATCCTGCATCCCCATATCCACCCTGTCTCAACCCATACTACTCCAAAACAAACCAGCTGTCTTGGCCAGTCGTGTCCCACGGAGGCGTAAACAGTTACCATGAGTACCGGAGAGGCCTCGCCGTGTGACACATGTCAGCACGCTCCTGCAAGCTGCCATCCCACCCTTATATGTTGCACAGCTGCAAAGGTGCTGTTGGACCCACACAAGGATAGGTGTAAGTTTAATCCGTGCAAAGCATGACCACGTGGAATGATTTAGTGTTATACTAAAATATTTCCTCAAGTATTTTACCAAGAAACCCATATTTTTAACTTGTGTGTACAGTAAAGGGCTTAATGGAGAACAAACGGTCTTTAGCAGGCTTTAAATACACATACTGTACCTGTGGCTGAGAAACCAAAATAGATAAAAGCAAAGAGGTTGTCCTGCTGAGCTGTGATCCAACTGTATTTTTAGCACAAATGACACACTGTGCTCACAGAGGGGAGGGGTGGGGGGTTGGGGGGAAGGTCAATGTAGCTGTACACACACACCAAAATGTTACCCACAGGTCGATGCAACTATTTTTGTATGACTGTGAACTGTCAGTGGGGGCTCTGATAAAAGGCTTGCTCTTCTCTGATGCACAATACCCTTTTGACTGCAGAGTACATCGGAGAAAGAGGAAGCGAATGTGCATTTGGGTTGCCAGTCACATTTCATTTCACATCATCACACGATGTGCACTCCTCACATAATTATCCCTTTTTGGAATCATACCGGCTTCATATACAACCGTAGTTTGCATCTACCTGTAGTTCCTCTTTTTATTGTATTCAAGGCATACACCCAACAGATAATTGTGCTGCAAATTTAGCAATGAAAGGCCAGCAAGTGCACTACCCCATGGGTGCATTCAACCTTCTTACAACCTGTTCTTGAATGCAATAAAAGTCTTTCTTTTTGAAGCACCACTACAAAGGCAGTTTAAGACCCTCAACCCACTATCACTTTCACTTTGCGTGGTTCAACTGTGCTGCGGCTTGTGTTGTGCATCTGGTGTCTGGGCGGTTCACACATTACGTGTGCGCGTGTGTGTGCGCGTTTGTGTGTGTGCGCGCGTGGCGCGCTTGCTTTTGAGTGGTTCTACATATGGCTCATATGCCATGCTGTACATCCAACTTCCACCTTGTTGAGTGGGCCTTCTCTGTTCATACCAGTAACAAGTTGAGACAAATGCGTAGCGTAGCTTTTCAACATGTGCAAAATTCCATTTTATCACTTTTCTTTTCACAGTAGCTCCTCATAAACTAGCCAGTTGAATATTTTGATCCTGAAGTAGAACCTGTGCTTTGTTGATACTAGTTAACAATTAACAACAAAGAATGCAAAGGGAGGATCGAAAACAGCCTGTGTACCACAGTGGTATACCATATCAATTTGTTTAAAACAGGGCGTTGCTTTCCCCTGTTATATATCGAATCATATGCGAACTAACCAGTCACATTTTTGTTTTGTCCAGTGTTGCGTAACTCCAGCCCTCCAAGGGCTACATCTTAATTTGGCACAGGAGAATTCGTTTTTAGCAGAATGCAGGCGCACCATTCGAAAATGGAATGGGTTGCGCAATTGTCCAGCTGCTTCGACGGCCTTTTGAAGGGTGGGCTGTGCAGTCCCAAGTTTCAATAGACACGCTCAGCTGCAGCGCCTGCATTTGCATTTCATGCAGACTTCGCACGGCGGAACCAGCGCAGCGGATGACTCTGAACTTTAAAAAAAACACACACACACATTAAGAATTAGAGCACACAATTTCGACAAACAAGGATTTGTTTGAGTTCATTTGATTAGGAATAGTACGCTTCAGGCGACAATAATCGGTCTCTGTTTTAAAAGAAAAAAATGTCTGAAAACGTAAAGACGGAACTAGGTTTCTCGGCGGAGGGCTACTAATTCCACAGCGCAACCGACTGCCATCACACATTTCATGAGCTCCAGTCAAGCGGACAGAGTTCACTGCAGCGTTCAAACCCGGCATGCCACCGTTTGACTTGAATAATATTGAAATATCGAGGAAATAACAATTTCCGACCGTGCGGTCCGGGTCGCTTTGAAAGACAACTCGCTTGGGTTTTGATTACGGCAGCCGAACTTGGGACCATTGGGAGAAGTCAAGAGCAAGCTAAAAGATGTCAATTCTGCCTTTCACTCCCCCCATCGTCAAGCGACTTTTGGGCTGGAAGAAGGGAGAGCAGAACGGCCAGGAGGAGAAGTGGTGTGAAAAAGCCGTGAAAAGTCTGGTGAAGAAGCTGAAGAAGACGGGACAGCTGGACGAACTGGAGAAAGCCATCACCACGCAGAATATCAACACAAAATGCATCACCATACCAAGGTAAGACGAGGTGACTGTCAATTGGCACCGCCACTGCTTAACAACAGCAGGTTAATTACTACGTTGTGCCACCAAATCTCCCAACTATTGTTTGAACTAATTTGGTCTTTTCTGCACTTCGGCGTAATATCAAACTCGTTTCCGTTTCCTTTCTCTCGCCGATATTACACATCGCACAATCGCACATTTTAATAACAGGCGAATAAGGTGCTTTGGATACACGACAACTGAAGTGCCGGTGGACAGCTTGCAAAGGCTCGCTGAAATAGTCCACGCCACGCCATCAAACACACATTTAAAGCATTATATCGCATGATTTGTGCAAGCAGAGGCACTGAGGACATATTCTGGAGCTTTGCATTTGACACAAGCAATGCACTGACTCAAATGGAGTCCAAGTTACATAATTTGCCCTTAATCTGCTCGGTTTTCTGGCGCTATGTGCCGGTGCTGTAACACTGCCTAGTGCTGACCTCCTCTCCCTCTTCTCCTCCCTGAGCTGCGTGGGGCAATCAACAGCTTGCAGATGCAATCAACTAGACTGGAAAGTGAGTGCAGGGGCCGTGAGAGGTCAGCTGTGGTCAAAGATGCACTCATCGTCTATGTCTTTACACCAGTATAACTGGTCAATGTTTCGAGTAATATTACAAGTTTTGTAAGGAGACCCTGTTCTGTTGTTTTTTTTTGTTTGTTTTTTTTTTAAATCAACAACAATAGCCTTGTGATAACTACTTTGTATAAGGCAGAGTTCCCCAAACTTTATTGAGCCAAGCCACATATTTTACATTGGAAAAATCTCATGGGACAATGTACACCGCCAAACAAATGTCACACAAAATGAGGCTGACATACAGGGAACACCCATTTATCGTGGGGGAAACATTTAACACACACCCGCAATAGCTGAAAGTTCATAGTATAGACAGAACAAATCAAACACAGGTGTCAAATTCAAGGGCTGGGGGCCAGATCCGGCCCACCACATTATATTAAACAGATTATGTGCGTCTACTGCATGTGTCTTGCTAAAATATCAATATTGTAAAATGACCACACTTTTAGAAACTTTGAGATTTGAGACTTTTGTTGTTGTTACCTATTATTTTGTAAAATAAAATAAAAAAGCACGTCCACCTCACAATGCAGAAGTGCAGGGTTTGATTCTGGCTCCGGCCTTCCTGTGTGGAGTTTCCATACTCTCCCCGTCCCTGCGTGGGTTTTCTGCAGGTACTCTGGTTTCCTCCCACATTCAAAAAACATGCATGGCAAGCGTATGGAATACTCTTAATTGTCCTAAGGAGTGATTATGCGCACAAATGGTTGTCCGGCTATGTGTGTGCCCTGCGATTGCTTGGCAACCAGTTCAGGGTGTATCCTGTCGACTGCCTGAAGACAGTTCCAGCCTGTGACCCTCGTGAGGACAAGCGGATTACATAGATACATGGATGGATGAATGTAATAATATTTGAAAAAACAGGTCTTAAGTGCCTCTTATTTCAAAGACAAAAATTAGTTTGACACCCCTGATATAGAAGCATTTAAAAAAAATATACTTTTACTGTACTCCTCTTATGCACTTTAAAATTGATTAAGATACATTAGTGCCTGTTCTTACTTTTTCTCGCACAGTTCTTTCATATAAGAAACCAGTGTGCTTGCTTCAATCTGTTTATTTGCCACTATCAGTTAGGCAAGATCCGACAATAGATTCTGATAGTATCATAACCGTGAACAAAAATATTGTTGTATCCGTGGTATTAAAATTACAGCTCAAAAATTTAGTTTTTAAAAATATGTGGAGAAATATATATTTTTTTCCATTGAATACAATCTACTTTATTTTTAAAGAAAATATAGAATGTTTAGTCCTGAAGAAGCACGTATCATGGTAAATTTAAATAAATACAGTAAATAAATACGAACATTGTTCTTTAATTTGAACTCTTCTTAGTAAGTCACAATGTCCCATCACCGGTGAACTATTTTGAACAGTGAACTTCAAAGAGGTGGTTCATTTAGTCAACTCTGCAAGCGGCCAATCGTATTGTACCCTGCTTAGACATCCCCTCCCAAAAAAACAAACAAAAAAAGTATGAGGTCATTATCGGTGACAGACAGTATTGGCAGTTATGAAAACCCTGACTTTTTCAAACCATGGTAAACCATCACACCGGTAACTGGCACATGCACACACCTAGTTCAAGTTTACTGTAAAACTGACATAAAACTAAAGAAAATGTAATACTACATATATTTAAACACCAAAACCAAACCATCATAGTCAGAGATGTCACATCAGTATCACATTGTATAGCAATGTATTGTGTTAAATGTTGCCCACTTGGCAACCATTGCAGCCTGATCATCCGGCTCTTTTCAAGGTTTCAAATTTTTCACCGGATGTTTTTTTGTTTTTCTTTTCGAGTTTTTGCTTGCTCTCCTGCGGGTCAAGATCAGGGGATGTCGTTAATATTTGCCAACTGTCAACATTTGAGACTTTTCTATGATTAAGGGCGATAAAAATACATCTGATTTGACTTGGCACAGTAATTACAAAGCTTCAAACAACTGCTACTTGAACACACACGAATCACCAACACATAAAAATAGAGCAAAACATACAGGCATTCATTCATTCTCTCAGCCTCCTCTTGCTCTGAATTACTCTATATCTCTTTCAGTCGACTTCAGTACTGTCTGACATGTAGCACAACATCGTACTCAACTGAAGGTCTGCAACATTAAATATGGACTTGCCCGTTCACGACGCGATAAAAACCCATAAGAATGATGCGTAATGTAAGAACCATGTATTCGGGGCATGAATGATGAACCGCGAGATAGCGGGGAAGACTGTATACAGTACAGTAATAATGATCTCAGTTTACTCACAATTTTACTTAATAAGTGTCAGTCATAACTTATGCTGTATGAATGGCCATAGGTGGTTGCAGGGGCTATCCACTTTATGTATATTTTGCCCTCGAGTGGAAGAGCATTTAATTCTTCTGCCTGTCACTATAGGTCCCTGGTAAAGAAAGATGAACAACAATGCATTCCGGACCAATTCAGTGAAATTAGACAATACTTCTGTGCCGAGGCAAACACTACAGTCATTACAAGGCAACTTCAATATGAGTTACTGATGCAGAGTAGTTGGAGGTACGGTGTCTTGTTTATGGGCACATTAGCACATTCAGCAAACTCATTTTACCAACAACCCAGCTACGGTTATGAATGAAGTACCATTCGTTCCTTTCCTCTCGGCTTAATTTGGCTAAACTCGTCACTGTTTGGTCTTCGAAATAATCCAAAGAGAGATAGATTGCGCAAGCGTAGACACGGATAAGGTTTATTCACAAAAACGCAAGACCGACAAAGTACGACAAAAGACGCTAGCAACAAAGAACCAGGAACTAACGAAACAAACAAAAAAACACTTGCTAAAGGCAAGGATGAATATAAACGTAAATTGCTGGTCACAAAAGGACAAGTAAGTCCAATGCACCGTAATACTTCAACTGAGCAAATAAGAACAAGTAAATACAAGAAAATACAAAATACAAGAAAAGTGGCGAGAAACTATGAGGCAAAAACTATGAACGGCGAGAAAATTCAGGCACTTGGCGACTAGTCGTGAGCAAGGCTGTAATAATCCAACAGCCATTTGTCGGCGTGGCAGTGTCTTTACAGGCAGCAGGCAACGAGGCATGACTAGAGGCAGGTGTGGCTCACGAGAGAACGCCCACTCTCCAGCTGGAGACTGGAAAAACAAAGCAAACAGGACAGGATCATGACAGTCACGTTTAGGGTGGTTGATTTTCCACTGCAAGATAGCATTGCCAAGTCACTGCCTGTGTAACGGTTAACTTGACTGACTTTCCTCCTTCGAGTCTGGGTTCAGTTCCCTCAGTGACGGTTTTGCGCGTGCCAATGATTGTCTGTCCTGATAGAGTGTGTGCCCTTTGATTGACTGGTGAGTAGTCTGCCTTTCACCTCACGTCAGCTGGGATACGCTCCAGCTCTCCGCAACCCTGAACAGCATAAGTAGGATAGAAAATGAGTGGAAAATAGTCGTGCTCCCGCAGTAGCGGGAACTGCTGTGACGTACAGTAAGTGGCGCGTAGCACATCACTCACAATGAGAGACAAACGGGCAACGAAATGGCTGGAGAATGGTGGCTTTTTCATACTTTGAACTCATTTTTGGAGATGAAGTCGTTTTCAAGTTGTTCACTACAGCAGACAGAAAAGAGCAACGTGGCACACAATACCAACTGTTACGATGAATACTGAAAAAAATTGAAATACAAGTAATTTCCGAAGGCGCGCTTAGTCAGTAAGCATCGCCTTTATGGTGGGTAATGTAATACGTTTCTGAGAAAAATTGTTCTCACGAAGGGAAAGCCAGCAAAGGCATGTTAATTGCTTCGATAACCTAAAACTGGCACTTAATCGTTAAAGACCGGGATGAAGTGTTTGGGTGATCGAATATGAGTCCACTTTTCACAGAAGTCTTGCTGGAACCACGTTAAAGTGGAACGTTTCCAGCTTTGACCATCAAAAGAGCAGGACATTTAATAAGTGCTGTTTTCGGTTTTGTTCACGTGATGCAATTGAAGGACGTGTTCATTGTGCTAAGGAAGAGGATTTTTGAGGAAGGGATGTGAGCACCTTTGCCATGTTTCCTCAATCATATGCAGTATTTTTTGTTCGTCCAAAGTGAGACTCATTCACTCAAATGGCTTGCCATTTTGGCCAATACAGTATGCGGCTAAGAAGTTAAAAAAAAAAACCCAAAACATTATATTACAACAATGCTCGAATATGCCTCTGCTCTTTGACATTTTTTGGCTATTGTGTTTGTGGTGCATGCATGCACTGTATTGAAGTCAAGTAGTCTATTTTCTTGTTTTGCTAGCATGAATTACTTTTTAATTTATTATTGAAACGTATTGCTCGATTCAGACTGGTCTACATGTGCATTGCGATACATACCTT